CTGTTTAAAAGGGGAATGACCACTTGCTGTTCTAAACACAATACGTGACCTTGCTTTTGCCTAGACCTCAATGAAGGCAATTGAAATAGAAAAATACAACATTCCTGTTTCCATTTACCCTAGATCAGTCTCAGCTCTTTCTGGATGAAATCAGTCTCTCAAGGGACCTCAACCTCACAATTTGTGAAACAATGCTCTAGATATGAAACAAAAGGAACACAATGGAAAACCAGCAGCCATTTGTTTTTCCACTTGAGAGAGTTAGACTGTACATCCTTTTCATTACAAAGGCCAGTTACTGTGCAGAATTGTAAATTAACTCTTTGTAACACAAATGATTTCAGGTTCACATAATAAAATAAGGAAAAGACTGAAGTCCCTTATTTTAAGCAACCTCTGAAACAAAACTAAAGAACCAAGATATCCCAGTCAGATTCTTTGGTTTGTGATAAATTTTACTTTAAAAAATTTATGTGGAAAATAAGTAACATATAACTCAGGTAATGTATTAACATAAGAATGCACAATAATGTTCACTTATTACATTCCAAACTATCCTTAAAACATTTTCAAGTACTTTAAACCAAGGTTGAGCAAACTGTAGCCATTGGACCAAATATAGCCCACTGCCTGTTTTTGTAAATAAAGTTTTATTGAAGCATAGCCCCACTCATTTGTTGGCATATTGTCTGTGACTGGTTCTGTGCTACAATTTCAAAGTTGAATAGCTGTGACAGACTCTATGGTCTGCAAAGCCAAAATAATTTGGTCTTTTACAATAAAAATTTGCAATCCAAACTTCTAAACCAGTGGGTCTTGAACTTTAACACTTATAAGAAACACCTGGACAGCTTGTGAAACCACAGCTGGGCTCCATCTTCAGAGATCATGATTCAGTAGATTGGGATAGAAGTCTGTGAACTTGCATTTCCAACAAGCTCACAAATTGCTGGTCCAAGAACTAAAGTTTAAGAACCATTGCTCTAAGTCGTCTCATACAATCATAGATTAAAAATGACCATAAAGGCTTAAATTCTGTAAAACATGCTAGCTGTCACAAAATGAAAACTAGGAACAAAAAAGGAATGAGATAGATCTCTTGAGTTATATGGAATTCTTGGTGGCTAAGAGAGTACAATTCGTTACCATAGCCATCAGGCAATTCTTCAGCCCCTCATCCTAACACTAATTCACAGAGAACCCTGGAAATTCAACAGGTACCAGCAGAAACTAAAGGCAATTGGGTTGGAGGTGTAAAACCCAATCCAATCTTTAGAGAAGCTAAAAAACACATTTCTAGTAAAAGCCAAGTTATATCCAGCTATAATTTAGTACTCGATTGGACCATACAATTGAAGACTAAATAAAGTACAATGTTAGAAAAAAAAAGACTCATATAGTTTATAATCCAATGGTCCAATCAAAAGTTGAATTCCTTCACTCGATATAAATAACTAGAAATTGTTAAAAATTAAATTCTTTAAATAAATTCTGATGAATATGTGTAGAGCTAATGTGGGAAACAATATAGAGGACGTCAACTGATGTATTTCATTAGCTAGGCTCAGACAGAATGAAAAAGAATGATACATAAACCACCTAAAAATATTAGTATGCTTTCGTTTGAACACGGTAGATGATAGAAGTGGAAGGTAAAGATTGGGAGGGAAAATCCCCTTTGCTGACTTTTTGGGACATAAAATACCACCTTTTTCCTCATTTAGCTTTTATGGAGCCTCTACCATGCTCAGAGGCTTTGTACTTGGTATTAGTGATAGAGATGAAGAAAACACCATCCCTATCTTCAACAGACTCTCAATCTAGAGACATGCAGATCACTGTAAAACAGCATGATTAAGTATAAGAACTGTACATTTTAAGTACTGTAGGGGTATAGAGTCAGCTGATTAAATATGCTCAGGAAAAAGGTGAAAGAAGGATTCACTGAAAACAGTTATTGCTTTAACTGAGACTTGAAGGAATTGAGCAGGCGAAGAAAGGTAGGTAGACAGATGGCCCACCAGAGGATACAGTGTGTGTAAAGATACAGAGGTGACAGAGAGCAATATGGATTTGAATTCTCCAAACAGGTCAGTTGGCTGAAGCAGAGTGTGCAATGTGGGAAGGTACGAGATGGGAGACTGGACGAGAAGGCAGGGTCCCACGTGAAGAGCCTAGGGTGCTCTAGAATCAGATCTTTATTTCTCCAGCTTTAGGGAAAGTGATGAAAGATTTTAACCCTAAAGTGGACTGCACAAATTTACATTATAATAAAATCATTGTGGCACCACTAAAGAGACTGAAGCTTAGGGAATTTACTTTTGCTTTTTGTTGTTGTTTTTGTTTGTTTTGTTGAGTTGAGGTCTCACTCTATGGCCCAGACTGGAGTGCAGTGGAATGATCACAGCTCACTGAAGCCTCCAACTCTTGGGCTTAAGTGATCCTCCCACCTAAGCCTCCAGAGTAGACGGGACTACAGGTGTGCACTACGGGGATTTTATTTTTGGTCTAACAAGACTTTGTATTCAAGACACTTAGGAGAGGTGGGAAAAAGAGGGACAGAACTAAATAGAGGTAACAATCACCCAGTTTCATTTTTATCTAAATGAACTACGCAAAGAGGTAGCAAAGTCTGAAATTTATACATTGCATTCCAAATCATAAGAAATATTATCTTGTTTATCCAATAAGGACAAGGCCTAAAACAACCAGTCAAAGATGACATTATGGTCCATGTAGACAGAGAAGACTATCAATTCAGAGTGCTCAAACCTTGGACAAATCATAACTTCCCTGAATTTCAGTTTCTTCACCTGTATAATGAAGGGTTCAGGGGTTCCTTACCTTAGCTATATTTCAATATAATTTGTTTCCTTTATAATCCACCCATTTTATTTATTTAAATATTAAAACTTCTCTTATTCTGAGAATGGGTTAATGACACAAAAAGGTTAAGAAGCTCTGTATGATCTTTAGGGTCACTTACAACTCGCAGATTATAGGATTTGCGGCATTCAAACACAGGAGCTAAAAGAGAATACTACAGTATACGGATAAATAGGAATGGGGCAGTAGGAAAAATACAACACTATAGATGAAAAAATTACATATAGGGATTAAAAGTCTGGCCCAGGCTGACATTATTTTTGCCTTTTCATTTCCCCTTCCTTTCTTCTGTAGACTTAGGTTAATGCTGGCATTGTGACTTCTTGATAGCTTTCTTCTTTTGTATCCTTAAATTTACTGAAGTATGATTTACAGAAAAAAAAAAGTCATTAGTAAAGGCTATGAGAAAGGTTGGTTATACATGGAAAATTATATAATGAAGAGACTGGTAGTGTTAGCAATCACATAAAAGAGGTAAGAATAAAAAGCCTTCTTGATAACATCCAGACACAAAACTACCTGGGTCAATTTCTTTTTTGAAAGTAAAAAACAATTGGTTTCGAAAAGACATGTGTAGAACAAAGCTAGTTGTTACCATCTTATAATTACAGGCATTTAATAGCAAGAATGCATCACTCTTGAGTCTAGATGATATTAATTTATAAGGTCACTGTTAGCATCAAACTTAAAATGGTCCACCAGATGCAGTGGCTCATGCCTGTAATCCTTGGGATGCTGAGGCAGGACAACCACTTGAGCCTAGGAGTTTGGGAGACCAGCCTGGGCAACATAGTGAGATCCCATCTCTAAAAGAAAACCCAAAAACCTTAAAATGTATGTAGTTACTACATACAAAGGAAATCAGATTAAAAAAAAATTTAGGAACACTATTAAAACATGAACACATAAAACACGTCATCAGAGAAAAAGCGAATGAAAGATGTAATTATTGCTTCACAGAGTTCCCATTATATATATATATATGTATATTTTTTTGAATCAGATTGAACCATCAAAATGGTTCTGATTAATGAAAGTCTCAGTGCCTCATTTGTTCAGTGTTCAAAAGGACATCTTGCATCGGTTTGAAAAAACCACTGAACTATAATATAATCTGTACTATCCTTTTAAACAACATCTACTTATTATTTACAAGCTTTCCTATTCCAGACATGAATCCACAATGAGGCACTCAGACAACTATTCAATTGAACAACAATAGAAGACTTTCAAAGCTGCAAAATCAAATCTAATCAATTTTAAAAATAGTATCTATATTAAATTTGCAGGGGTTTCCTCTCCTAACAATCTGAGGGAAAAAAGCCTTTACTATTCTCAGTTTTTCTGGAGAAAAAAAACTATAAAAACAATGCATGTGTCTAGTTTTCTTCAGTAGACTTAACCTAACAAATCTGCATAGGAAGACAGGTTCCTGTCTATACAGGTAGCTTTCTTCCCACACTCCCTAGTTATTTGCATATCTCTAAACCAGAGACAGGTTAACTGAGGCACCTAAGGCAATCTTTAGTGTCACTGTACTCCTCCCTCAACAAGTGGTTTCTTTTAACAAGTATTAAAGAACATTTAAGTGCTAGGCTTAGAAAACAAAGTCACTTTTTAGTCACTAAAAAGTGACTTTGTAATAGCCTTAAAATACAGTCTACAGCAACAAAATATTCTGATAATTTATTTGCTTCTGGAAAACTGTGCCAAGTGAATTTTATGACTACTTTTAAAAACATGTAGATTCCTTCACTTTTCGTCCAGGCAATAAAGATTACATGTTCAGTGAATTAGAAAAAAATTCAGAATTCACATTTCTAGAGGACCTATCATACTTGATTCAGGAAAGCAAAATATTTTCCAGGTACAAGGTATTTAGAAATCATCTGTAACCATACTTCATTATATAAAATGAACCCTATTTAAGCGAATCTACTCAATGGCACAAAACGTAAGTCAGCAGAGGAATTTAGTTTTCAAAAGGACTTTTCAAAACATGATTTGTACACAACCTGAAGAAATCGGCTCTGTTTAAAAAGAAGTCATATTACTAGTTTACTGTAGAACAGAGAGTAAACTACTTTTCAATAAAGGTATGAGGCACTACTCACCTTCATTTCCACCGCGGCAATACTCTGGTCATAATGACCCAGGAGATTAGGGAAAAATGTCATGTTGTAGGCCATTTCCATACACCTGGGAACAGTAATTGGTTCACAGGTGAAGAGACTGTGCCCTCTTACGAGGGGTAGAAAAATACAAGTCAACCAAAATGTAAACATTTTCATTTTCTTCAAATTCCTGATTTTACCACATGGCTTGGATGAATCATTCTTTTCATTCTCAGAAGATACCCATCCAAAAGTAAAATGTTTAAATTCCTCATTTCACTATTTTACCATTTTGAAGGTAGCGGTTTTCCAGAAAACGAGTCCTGGCTCAATTACTGTAAAAACAACGAAGAGGGTGTATCAGCAACATTTGTCATAAACTCAACTGGAGAGTCAAAGTGCAGAGTTAAGATTTTCATCCCAGGTAACAAACACTGGAAAAACAATGGAAAATTCTGTCCTCGCGAGATAATCTCCCACCTGCCTTGGCATGGACTATATCATTTGCACAGAGGAAGCTACACCTCTAGGGAACCGATGCTAGGAGGTTGGTGCTTGTATGGAACACAGGGTTAAAAAGAGGTATGGCAAGAGTAAGACGGAGGAAAAAGGGAACGCTGGTGATTCGAATTAAATTTTAAAGGATTAATCATACAATCTAAGGGCCCCTGTCTTATTAAGCACAAGAAAACTAAGGCCCTGGGAAATTCCTTAAGACCCAAAGAGTCCTTAAACTTGTAAAAGACTCTGGCAGTCTTCTGAGTACGTAGTTTCCTCGGTTTTCAAAAGGCCAACTAGACGGAGACTTTTATGATTCCTCCAGCGGAAGAGCAACATTGCAGTTTTCACTAGCTGGGAGGGTGTAGTGCGGCCGTCGAAAGGAAAGTGCGCAAATCTGTCCCGGTGGGAGGGCGACAGCTGTGGGCCCCGGATTACGAATCACCCGCGTCCCACACACGCTGGTCTGTACCCGGTCTGCCAGCGCCCCACACCCGGGCACCTGCCCCAGGCCTAAAGCCAAGCAGCAGCGTCCCTGGCCCGCGCGGCGCCGCGGGGCCCCGGCATCGCCTTTCAGAGCCGGTTCCCGCTTCGGAGGAAACTCGTGTGCGGGCCGTCCCGCCGTCGCCTCCCCAGCACCTGCGGCTCGCGGCGCGCCTCATCCTAGCCGCCCCCGCGCCGCGCCCCTCGAGGCCCGCCCCGCTTCCCCCGGCACCCGCCCGGTCCCTGCCAGGTCCCGGCTGTGGGAGCCTCACCTCGGGCGGCGGTCGAAGGCCGCTCTCCCTTCCGGTCTCCGTCCAGCCCACCGTCCCCACAGCGAACTGAGACGGCTCCGGGGAGCGTCGGGGACTGGAGCCGCCTCGGGAACCGCACGGGGAGCGAGAGCTGAGCGATCCCGCGAGACTGCGCCGCCAGGTCGGGCGGGCAGGTCCGGGCTCGCGGCGGCGGCGGCGGTGATGGGACTGGCCCTGCGCCCGGGCTCCGCCTGCGCTGCGCAGCCAGGCCTGACTGCAGCCAGCCAGCACCCGGCCCGGGTGAACGAACTCGAGGTGCCGAGGTCCGGCTGTGGGGCCAGGAAGCCGCCTCCACCTTGCCGTCTGTTACGGCCCCCGAGACACAAGGCTGAGCCCCATCTCGCTAACCGCGTCTGGAAGGGTTCCTGGACAACTGCTATGAAAACAACAACAAATCCTTTTATTAATTCGGAGAGCCTGGTCACCAACTGGATGCTCAGGTAGCAGTGGGATTCCAGCCCTGGCGGGTCCTACAGTTTATTGATGCAAAACCCTAGTAGGAAGTTGAATTGCTGTAGAAATCAACCTAGTGTTGGGTACCAGCTCTATTATAGATATTAAATTACCCTAATCTTTCAGGGGCATAGTGTCCTCACAATATAGGAATGACAATAGTTGTAATGATGGTTAACGTTAATTTAGCACTGGCTGTAAGTCAAATAGTGCCAAGTTCTTTTTACAAGTGTTTACACCTGATCTGTAATTTATAATCCTTTGGGTATAGACCCAGTAATGGAATTGGTGGGTCAAATGGTATTTCAGATTCTAGATCCTTGAATCGCCACGCTGTCTTCCACAATGGTTGAACTAACACTTCCACCAATGGTGCTTAAAAGTGTTCCTATTTCTCCGCATCCTCTCCAGAATCTGAAAAAGAGCAGAATATTTTGACGTATTTCAAAATAGTTACTTTTCACCTCTCCCTATTGGATGTAGGAGGTGATTTTTCTCTGATTTTCAGTGACAGAACCTGGGAGAGCTCCTGCAGGTAAAACTTATAAAAGTGTGGGCGTGCCCTCCAAAGACTAGGCCCCTTGGAGTTTTTTTTTTGTTTGTTTGTTTGTTTGTTTGTTTGTTTGTTTTGAGAGAGAGTCTGGCTCTGTTGCTAGGCTGGAGTGCAGTGCCGCAATCTTGGCTCACTGCAACTTCCGACTCCTAGGTTCAAGCAATTCTCCTGCCTCAGCCTCCCAAGTAGCTGGGATTACAGGCACCTACCCCCACACCCAGCCAATTTTTGTATTTTTAATAGAAACAAGGTTTCGCCATGTTGGTCAGGATGGTCTCAATCTCCTGACCTCGTGATGTGCCAGCCTAGGCCTTCCAAAGTGCTGGAATTACAGGCATGAGCCACCACGGCCCCCTGGAGTTTTAAACTCATAGTCTTAACTATGCTGAGCCTCTAGCAATTCATCAGTTACAGTTCTGGTCTTCCTACTCTGTACTCGTGCCCCTGGAGGTTTCTGCTGGTGGGTTTCTGCTCTAGGAAATTGTGATTCTCTGTATCTGCCTGTTTGTCTCTCCAGTGTTGGAGGCAGGGGCATGATCTGTGTCCTCACTTCTCTGATAGATCTAGGAAGAGTTGTTGATTTTCAGTTTGTCCAGTTTTTTATTGTTAGAACAGAGTAACAAGCCACAGTAGAAACCTTAATTTCTCATTTTAAAAAATAGGTATTACTTTGAGAATTTTATTGCTAATTCCAGTTGCTACTGCCTTAGCAGAAAGTTTTTCCAAGTTAAAATCAATTTGAAAAATCCCGAGAGCTACCGTAATTCAGGAAAGTTATATAATTTGGCATTAGTATTCATGGAATACTGGCTGTATGAAAATTTTGATTATGACAATATAATTAAGGGATTTAGCTGAAATGAAGGGAAGAAAGTAAATTTCACCGGGGTAAATATGTAATTCGTGAACTGTGTATGTTTTTATTTAATTATTTACCCAAACATTTCCAGCCTATCACCAGACTATGCAAACATATGCAATAATAATCAAATTTATCTGCCTTTGATATTTTGCCTACTCATTAAAACATAGCTTTACACATTAGAAACATTTTTGTCTTTATAAAGGTATATTTTTTTCAAGGTAGGAGGATACAACATATTTCAAGTAGCAGCTTGTTAGTTTGATATATGAATTTTAGCTGTGTAGACATATAGCATGGTGTCCTCCTTTGTAGTCTTACTTAAGCGCTGCACACATGCTAGGGGATAGACCACTGACCTGTTGCTGAGGCATTAGTAGTTTGAGGAACAAACAGCAGTGAAGGGACCCCAGCTGGAGGAGGCTGGGCTGAGCAGGGTTATAGAAGAGTACAGAAGGAAAGAGGAACTTGGGAGGAAGCAGTTAGAACTTCCAGTGGCATGAACCCCTTCCCTCCTGAAGTTCTCTCCCAAGTACCTCTTTCCCTAACCCTTGAAAGCTCTACCATGGCTTCCCTCCCTCCAAGTAACATTGTGAATTTGATCATGCACTATCTTAATTTAGGGGAGTCTATCCACATGACATAGAGAATGGTTTCTATTTAAAAACTAACTTTCACTTGAAATACATTCCCTGTCACTCCCTGCTCTAAAAGCTAATTGCTGCAGTGTTTGTAGCATAGCAATTAACCTTTGGGTTGTGTCCATTATTGTTGTATCTATTATGATTGGCCAGAAATAATAGATTTTCTAATTACTGTCTCTAGTATTACTGGAAAAATAAAATTTTCAATGTAGTAGTAACATGATACTGCAGGAAAGAGCCACATATTTTAATGACAGTTTGATATATAAGATTGCCTCTTTGGAGTTCTGGTATAGTCATTGCAAATAAAGAGATTCATAATGCTAAAGAAAAACAGCCTTAACTCTACGAATGCTTTGAGTTACATTTTATGGCTGTGAGTTTGCCTTGCTGGGTTTGTTTTTAGTGGCTTCAAATTCACCATCTGGTCATTTTAAATATTTAATATATTATCCTTTTTTTCAACCAAAGCAGCCATGTTAAGCCAAATATTAGAAATAGTATTTTCCCTTTATAAAGTTTGTAAGCATCTAGAAAGGGACTTCTTGCTCCAATTTAGTAATTTATACAAAATAACTAAATTAATTTACTTTGATATGTAAAACCAACTTTATACCAACTGTGGATCATGGGTTGCTAATAACTCTGATCTTTAAAATTAAAAACAAATGTATTAGAAGAATTAATATTGTTAAAATGTCCATAGTACCCAAAGCAATCCATAGATTTGATGCAATTTATATCAAAATTTCAATGGCATTTTTCACAGAAATAGAAAAAATAATCCCAGAAGTCATATGGAACCACAAAAGACCCTAGGTAGCCAAAGAAATCTTCAGAAAGAGGAACGGAACTAGAGGCATCACACTGTCTGATTTCAAACTGTATTACAAAACTATAGTAATCAAACTAGTATGGTGCTGGTATAAAAACAGACAGAACAGTGGAACAGTAGAGAGAGCCCAGAAATAAGCCTATGTGTATATAGAGTCAGCTAATCTTTGACAAATTCACCAATAATATACAATGGGGAAAAGTTGGTTTCTTTAATAAATTATGTTGGAAAAAAACTAGATATCCACATGCAAAAAAATGAAATTGGGCCCTTTTATACAGTATACAAAAATAACTGAAACATATTAAAGGCTTAAATATTACAACCAAAACTATAGAACTCCTAGAAGAAAACATAAGGGAAAAGCTCTTTGACATTGGTCTTGGCAATAACTTTTTTGGATATGACATCAAAAGCACAGGCAACAAAAGTAAAATTTCATAAGTAGAACTACATCAAACTAAAAAGCTTCTGCACAACAAAGGAAACAATCAACAGAATGGAAAGACAATCCTATGGACTGGGATAAAGTATTTGCAAACTGCATATCTTATAAGGAGTTAATATCTGAAATATATAAGGAACCCACACAACTTAATAGCAAAAACAAACAAACAAATGGAAAAAAAAAAGAAAAAACCAAAGAACAAATAACTAAAAAATAGGCAAAGAACCTGAATAGATGTTTTACCACATAAAACATTCAAATAAAATGTATATGAGAAGATGCTCAACATCACTAATCATCAGGGAAATGCAAATCAAAACCACTATGAGAAACATCTTATACCTCTTATGATGGCTACTATCAACATGATGAGATGAATGTGGACAAGAGGGAAACTTGGCACACTACTAGTGGGAATATAAGTTAGTGCAGGCACACCTCATTTCATTGTACTTTGCTTTATTGTCCTTCATAGATACTGTGCTTTTCACAAATGGACGATTTCTGGAAACCTTGCATAGAACAAGTCGTTGGTGCCATTTTCCCAGTGATCTGTGCTTACTTCACGTCTCTGTGTCACATTTTGTAATTCTTACAATATTTAAAACTTTTTTATTTTTATTATATCTATTATGATGATCTGTTATCAGTGATCTTTAATGTTACTATTTAATTGTTTAGGGACACTGTGAACCACGCCCATAGAAGATGATGAACTTATTTGAAAAATGTTGAGTATGTTCTGATTACTCCACCTACTGACTGTTCCCCATCTGTCTCCCTCTCTTTGGGCCTTCCTACTCCCAGACACACAACAATATTGAAAGTAGGCCAATTAATAATCCTACAGTGACCTCTAAATGTTCAAGTGCCAGGAAGAGTCACATATCTCTCACTTTGAGTCAAAAGCTGGAAATGATTAAGCTTAGTGAAGAAGGCACATTGAAAGCTGAGACAGGCTGAGAGCTAGACCTCTTGTGCCAAACAGCTAGCAAAATTGTGATGCAAAGGAAAAGTACTTGAAGGAAATTAAAAGTGCTACTCCAGTGAACACACGAATGGTAAGAGAGCAAAACAGCCCTATTGCTGATATGAACAAAGTGAGTGGTCTGGATAGAAGATCAAACCAGCCATAACATTCCCTTAAGCAAAAGCTTAATCCAGAAGAAGATTCTAATTCACTTCAATTCTAGAAAGGCTGAGAAAGGTGAGGAAGCTGCAGAGCTAGCAGAGGTTGGTTCATGAGGTTTAAGAAAAGAAGCCATCTCTATAATATAAAAATGAAGCAGCAAGTTCTAATGGAGAAGCTGCAGCAAATTGTCCAAAATATCTAACTAAGATTATTGATGAAAGTGGCTACACTAAATAACAGATTTTCAATGGCGACTAAACCACCTTATGTCAGAAGAAGATGTCATCTCAGACTTTCATACCTGGAGAGAAGATGTCAATGCCTGCTTCAAAGCTTTTATGGATAGAATGACTCTCTTTAAAGGCTAATGCAGTGTTGACTTTAAGTTGAAGCCAGTTATTGTTTACCATTCCAAAAATCGCAAGGCCCTTAAGAATTATGCTAAATCCACTCTGCCTCTGCTCAATAAATGGAAAAACAAGGTCTGGATGACAGCACATCTCTTTA